ACAATTACCATTATGAATGCAAATTTAGTAACCAGCATTGTTTATTGTGATTTATGGATTATGAAAGATGCCATAATTGCTGTCAATTTAGACTGTAAAGCAAAAAACAAAAATCAAAATCTAAAAAATTTTATAATTAAAGAAAAATTATAAGATAAAATGAATTATTTAGAAAATGAGAGTATTAAAAATTTTAAAAAAAAGGAAAATGAAAATTTTACCTTGTTGTAACCTAATCAAATGGTGGTGAGCTAAATAACATCTTTGAAATCTTTAGTTCAATCTCTAAATCTTGACATGTTTGTGATTTTCAACTGTTTTTTCCAATTTTGTTGAATTTTTCTCTTTTTTCATATCATGTACCACATAAACAAAATAAACATCATAATACTAATATATAAGGGGTCATAATAAAGATATATTTATATTCTTAGATTTGTTACTTATGTACCTAGAAAAACTAGCCTTTTCGGTTCTTCTCACCTATTCTTGATAGCAGCTTCCCTAAGGCCAAGTCTTGGAGTATCCATTGTAAGGGCAATTGCCTTGAAACTAACCCTTTTAGCTCTCCTCACAAGCTATGCAACCTTTCTTTCTTTGTATACTTAAACAATATGCAATAATGATTGATATACAATGATATAAAATGAAATAAAAACTTTAAAAGATCATATTTTCAGTATCCTAGTAAAATGTGCATTTAGCATAATTCAAAAATAATTTACAACTTTAATGATCTGTTGTTCACGATGCAAGATGTCATAAATGTAAAGCCTAGTCATAGTTTATATAAACTATCTCTTTAAGGTTTAATTGTAAAATCAAACAATTATATCACAATGCTGAAATGCAACAGGAAATGTCTAAGTGTAAAGAAGATATCTCAAACTCAAATAAAGTTAGAAAAGATGACTGCTAGGTTCTATTGAAACAATCTCCTCAACACTGAAATTAGCACATGAAGATAGTGTCTGAGGGGAAAAATAACGAAGGTAATAAATATCAATTTCTCAGAACAAAGCAAGATTCTACTGCATGCCAAATACAAGCCATGAACATTAACAACATCAGAAGATATAAATTCAATTTTAAAATAAAAATGAAGGAGTAGTGAGAAACAAACCATAATTGTTCCTGTAGCTAAAACTGCTCTAGCTATTATGTATTCTCTTGCATAAAGAAACATACTTTAACATTTAGCACATATTATATATGATTTAAGACGATAATGAAAGTTTTGATGTTGATTCACTAAGCCCTATAAATGAAGATTTATATGATTTTGACATTCAAAGTAATGTTTAACTCAAGTTATTTTGAGTTTTTAAGATAATTATAAGATAAAAAAGATAATAATAAAATTTTTTTTCTTTTTATACCTGTTAAGTAACTCACATGATTGGAAAAGTCTCACCTTGGTTGTTTAAATAAGTTTACTTATACCAAAGAACAAATAAGAAATAAAAAATGTGTACATTAGATTGCATAAAAAATTTTTGCTAAAAATTTATTCTTTTTAAGTTTTCACTCACTTGAATAACCCTGCTTTACAGTGTTCTATTAACTTATGCAAAAGTTAATTCATGCAATATAAGGAAATAAGAATAATGATAGAGACTGGTATCCTAATGAACATATAGTGCTAACCTGAGGTTTAACTTCTATAAAAGTGTTGGCCATTCTTAATTGAAACTAGCTCATTAGCAAAAACACTTTCGAGGTGATCTAAAAGCTCTTTAGCCCAGCAAAATCCAAATTTATTCTTTTTAAGTTTTCACTCATTTGAATAATCTGCTTTACAGTGTTCTATTAACTTATGCAAACGTTAATTCATGTAATATAAAGAAATAAAATAATGATAGAGACTGGTATCCTAATGAACATGTAGTGCTAACCTGAGGTTTAACTTCTACAAAAGTGTTGGCCATTCTTAATTGAAACTAGCTCATTAGCAAGAACACTTTCGAGGTGATCTAAAAGCTCTTTAGCCCAGCAAAATCAAAATTCAAGTTTAGCATACAGGTAATTCCACACAAGCACTAACATGCAAAGACAAAATCTTCTCAAAAAATACATTCAAAACAACATGCAAACCTTACGATGAATATTTTACACAAACTAAAAAAAAAAAAAAAAAATCTCAAGTCAAGCACAACTTTCCTTATTCAATTAAATCAAGCAAAACTCAATATAAATTATTGATGGGTTTCAATTTGTACTCAAAAAACCAAACCCAAATGCATGCAAGAAAAACTAAAAAAAATAAGAAGAAATTTTGTATACAATTCCTTAATAAAAAATCTAAAATAGAATAAAACCTATAAATAGCATTAATTATAAAATAAATAAATAAATAAATAATACTACCATAAATAACAATCCCAGTTGCTTGATCGGGTTTCATATTAAAATAAGAAAACAAAAACAAATCTTAAGATCTTTAAAACAAAAACAAATTTTGCTTACATGTGTAAGTCTTTCTCCTTAGCTAACAAAAACAATAAAATCAAATGTTATAACCATAATTTTTTAAGAAATCCTTATTCACAATAAATGAAATGTCAATGAGAGGATTGTCCATCCTCAAGAGGATTCTTTCATGCCATTTTTTTGAATTGTCAGTGATAGTTTGGTAAAGGGAAAAGCTAGACAGAGAAAAGGAAGAAGAAGAAGCATAATGCGAGTATAAGATTTTTAGATCTTGGTAGTTTTAAAATCTTCCTTTTTGACCTTTTTTTTTCTCCATGCTTTCTCCCTTCTCTCAATTACCCTTGTAATTATTTTTAAATATAATGTTGATGTGTATAGTAAATTAGAGAATAGGGGATAATTTTTATCTAATTGTATAGATTTTTAAATGAAAAATGATGATAATAAAAAATTAAAATAATAATTAAAACAAAATTTGAATATTTTTCCTACAATAATTAAAATAAAATTTGATCATTAAGAAAAGTACTATCAAAATAAAATTCAAAATATACTAAATTAATATAAAAAATAAATTTTCAAAATCATTCAAAAAATTAAATTAAAGTAAACTAAAGATATTTTTAATTATATTATAAAAATAATACAATAATTACCTAAACAAAGAAAAAAAAGGGAAACTTGTTAATAAAGTCATTTAGATAACGTTTGGTATCATTTTCAATATCATCATGATAATTTAATTATTGTAGTGATCTTATTATTTAGGTGATTTGATCATTCAGATCTAGAATCACTTTGCATGGTTAAGAATCATTAACTTTTAGTAATTAAAGATCATTGTGTTTGGTACGAGAAAATCTAAATGCACTCGATTTTTTCTCTTTACACCCACTTGCTTTTTCAAATCTTTTTGTAAGTGAAATTTCTTAAATATCATTCTCATAAGTGTTTGAATATTCATATTCGATAAATTTCATAACTTTTCGAAAATTCATTTATGAACAGTATTCCGAAAAGTCATAATATTTCTTGAAAATGCATTTTTAAAAAATTATAACACTTTTCAAAAATTAAATTCTGAGAGGATGAAAGTTTCTTAAAAATTACAAAAAAAAAAGAATTTTGTTAAAATTTATATGAATTAGCATAATAAAAAAATAGTTATTAGAAAAAATCATAAATTTTAAAATTAATAAAAAAGAATATACTTTTATTATTTTGATTTAGAGAAAGACTAAAGTCTTATGAGGTCCTAATTAAACATTTTATCTTTTGATATTACAAAGGATGATGAAAGAACAATTAAGTCTGATCAACATATAAAAGTTGAAAACTATTTAAAATTTTATAAGTTATATAACTAAATAATACACAATTTTGTCAAAATATAATATGCTAATTAGAGAAATCTATTATAATAAGTAGATGGAAAGGTTTATCTAAGAGATTTAGTTTAGTTAGAGCTATTATAAAATTTTAATAATTGATACAAAAAATATTTATTAAAAAATGATAAATTTTAAATTTATTATATTTACTATTTTATCTTTAATTTAATTAATGTCTCATAAGATTTTATTATTTCTCTAATATCAAAATAATAAATGTAAATTTTTTATTAATTTTAGAAATTATGATTTTTTCTAATAATAACTTTTTTTATTACACTAATTCATAAAAATTTTAATAAAATTTCATTTTTGTAATTTTTCATAAACTTTCACTTTTTACCTTCTCATAAATGTGTTTTCAAAAAGTTATAAAATTTACTTGATATAGATATTTGAACATTTGTGAGAAAGATATTTAAATGATTTTATTTACAAGAAATTAAACAAAGGGGTGTAAAGAGAAAAAAGTTACATTTAGTCACTCTCGGTCGGTATTACTAAAAATCAAACATTATTGTGTTTGAAAGTATCGAAATAATTATACACATTATAATAACTATATAAATTAATGATTTTGATATTATTTAAAGATAATTTGTATAAAAAATATTAGAAATATTTTATTTACTTCATAATAAATATAATTAAATTATTAAATTATAAATATATTTATTGATAGTAAATTAGCTTTTATAGTATAAATTATATAAAAAATATTTGAATTAGAAAATAAAACTAATATATTAAAAATAAAAGATTATATTATAAATAAATTTCAAAAAATTAAAAAAATCATGCAAAATATTTTTGAATTTTTTATAATAAATATTAGTTTAAAAATATAAAAATTCTAATATAAAATAATTACAATTAATTTAAAAATTTTTTAATTTACATACTAAATGAGTAATATTGATTATTGTTATTTTAAATATCACTTCACTCGAATGATAAAAATTTTTAATCCTTTTTAATGTAATTAAATTATTTTTTAATAAAATAATTTAATCATTTTTAATAATTTAAAATTATCGTCATATAAAATTATTAAATAATTATCAAATATAATTATTTAATCATAATACATAAATCATTATTTTTTATCAAATAATCTTCTTACACCGAATACTCTCCTGTTAGATTAAAAAAAAAAAAACCACTTATTGTCATCGGCTCGGCAGGCAAAAGTCAATGTTAACGGGTTGTTGTCAACCTTAAAAGGCGTCTCCGTAGGAAAAGCCACCGTTCCAATAGACAAAGGAAACAAGAGAAAAACAAAACAGAAGTAACAAAATTCTAAATAGCAGTCATGAACATATTCAGGTTAGCAGGGGATATGACCCATCTCCTCAGCATTGTGGTGCTTCTGCTCAAGATCCGTACCATGAAATCTTGTGCAGGTATATTCTTTTTGTTTCTACTTCTACTGTTTTTTTGAAATTCCAATTTTTTCCGTGAAATAAAAGAAATTTTGGATACCGATTTTGTTAATTTAATAATGATTCGTAGCTGACATTAGTAGGAACATGGGTTTTTCCAGTTTGGAACGTTTTTGCTGAATGCCCTTTTCATTGTATATTGAAAATACCCATTCTTTGATTTTATTTTTCATTTTCAGCTTCGAAAGAGTGCTTTGTTTTTGTAATTTTCAACTTTTTTTTTTGCATGAAAAACTCAAATTCAAAAGCTTTTCAAGCAAACCCTTTGTACTTTCTATATATATATTTGATTTTTTGTCTGTGTTGACTTTAGTTTATGGTCTGCTCACTTCTTATTTCTTATTTTATTTTCTATGTTTGATCCCTATTTTGGTTAGCTGGTTGTTGTTGAAAAATATAGTTCTGCTTCGAAGAATACAAGTGATTGTTTTGAAAAATAGATTTTTGTTTTCATTGGCACATTTGTTTGGTTAGATCATGGGTGGTTGGTCCTCTGTTTCTTATATTTCTTGTAATGATTGATGGAAGAGTTATTTGGTTGTTTTTGTACCACTGTCTGCACATCAACATATGTTTTTAACTTTTTATGCATGGTAATAAAACAAGTTCTTTTTTTAGGAATTTGTCCCTAATCTTAAGTGGTGCAGCAATTGACAAAAATTAGGCCTTTGTTTTGTTTTTCTCGATGCCTACTTCTATATAATCATTATTTCAAAAACTTTTCTAATGAAGTAATTTCCAACAAAAGAATCAAAACTCTGTTTTATGGAAATTTTTTTCAAAGAGCAGTAAAAATTAGACCCTTGAAGTTTTTCGAAGAGAAGCTAACAAGTTTAACTAATGGAGAATGAGAAGAGAACAGTGGTGAAATTTTTTTATTGTTTTACGTCAGTGGAGTCATTCTCTGAATACAATAAGAAAAAGAAAATAAAATTATGGACATTATTGGTGGTTTTCCCTCGTAGTGCTTGATGGAGCAATGAAATAATTGTTAATTTTGAAAATTTTAATGCTTGAGAATTTTCCCAACAAAGCCCATTCTTTCCCTTTGCTGAGAACTTCCATTTTATCTCACTTCCCTTGTTTTGCTTGTTCAATTTTTTCACTATTTGTTGGTTGGAATTTCTAATTCTAGACATTGTTCTTCTACTGGCCAAATTTGTACATTCCCATTTCGGATCAGAAGTTAAGTATGTAGTGGTTGCTAAAGAATGATGATTTTGGTTATCTGATTAGACTTATCTGTCAAAAACCTCAAAATGCATTTTTCAGCAATACTAAGTTTAGTTCTTTATGTGACTCAATCTTGGACTTCCCTCAAATATTAACTGTCATTTTTAAGTTCTCCTGAAGGTAAAGTGAGACTGTTAGTTCTGGAATGGCAGGATTCGGATAAGAAGTATCTGAAATTCTTTATGCACTCCTTTCTTCTGGTTTCCAATTTGTTGGTTAGGTGTCAAAAATGAAATTAAAATTGTTTGGTTTTGTCTTCAAGAAGTAAAATGAAGTCTTTGTTGCAGAAACTTTTTCTAGAGATTAGTTTGAAAATTTTCCCCTGTATGAAAATTTATTTTCATAAAACTATTGGTAGTTCTCAATGGTTCTTGGTGGGAAGTTTTTTAATTTCATAGATTGAATGTTTGGAATCTTGGTTAAAATGGCTATTTTGCACGGTCTTAATTCACAATTTTCTCTGCTTTCTATTCCTTTTTCTGGGCCATTTTCATTGCTTTGTGCTTGTTTTCTTTGAGGCGTATTGCTAAATTGAATAAGGAAAATTGTTTTTCTTGGGAAGCTTAGCTGTGCGCACGCATACACTAACTTCCACCAATCTTAATATTCTCTATGTTATGTGTCTTTTGCTTGAAATTTTTTCATAAACCTGGATATACTACCTGAAAGAAAAATGCCATAACGGCAAAGCTTTTGAATTTTATATTTCATAAATTTGTACCTTAGAAATTGAGCTTTGGTTGAATTTTAGCTGGAAATAATTGGAAATCTTATTGACATTATTTTCTAGATTTATGAACCTGGATGATGATTGGTTGTATCAAACTTAATTCTTAGAGAGTCTTCTCTTCAAAATGCATATTAAATGTATAGAAATTGTGCAATATAATCTGGAAAACATGCTTTGATGCTAGATAAAGCAGTTCAAAAGAATGTTTCAAAATATATTATCTTGTTTCTTATTTTGCTTGAGACATTGATAAATCCTAAGGCAAACGATTGAGAAACTCAACAACGCCACTATTCTTGAACAACTTGGAGCCAGCCTTTCCTTTCGCACTATTACAGATACGAAAATAATGGAAAAAGTTGGATTTTGCTTGAGACATTGATAAAAAGGATTGTTCAAAACTAACTTCTCCTTGCTTCTTGTTTCAATGAGACATTGATAAAAATGAGCCTACTCTCTCTCTCTCTCTACACAAACACAACATGCACACACGCAAGCACACTTGCTCTGGTCTCCTCTCTGATGCACTTGAAGAGCATATAAATCTGAATAAAATTTGCATACAAGCAGACATGCACCCACATCTATGAAGAGCATTAGATCTGAATATTATGTAAATTATATTTTTCTGTGAATATATTTCCCTTTATCATGTCTAAAGCCTAAACAAATTTTTGTTTACAGGAATTTCACTTAAGACTCAGGAATTGTATGTTATAGTCTTTCTTACTCGGTACCTTGATTTGTTCACAAGGTATGTATCTTTCTACAACACTGTAATGAAGCTAGTTTTCATTGGAACTTCAATTTGCATTGTTTGGTACATGCGCTACCATAAAGTTGTGAAGCAGACCTACAGCAAGGATCAGGATACTTTTAGACATTACTTTCTGATTCCCCCATGTTTTCTGTTGGCCCTTCTGATTCACCCTGCTTTTAATGTAATGGAGGTATGAAACTGTCTGCTCTTCTCTTTTGTATGTTTAATGTTGACCTGCTTTTCTTATTTGGTAAAAGAATTTACTCTAGGGCTGAATTATGTTTCTTGCATATGAAGTTTAGTAAGGTGTTGCAACAAAATGTTGTAGAAATGAATTTCATCTTGAGATACATGATATTCAATCAGTGTGCTTCCTCGAGGTTTTCTTCTTGAATGAAGTGCAGTTAGACGGATAAGTATTGTGAATGTCATAGGGTTTGAAGGTAGATTGTCTGTGCACTGCAGATAACGGTGACTAATCTGAAAACAATAAAGTTGCATCAAAATCCCTTTGGCCCTTTTGAACTTGGATGGAGAAGGAAGTGGAGGATGGCTTAAAACTAAGTAGACATGATCTTTTTGCCCTTTTAAGGGACATAAGACTCATTTACTGCAAATGGCTCTTATGTCCTTACATTCATAGTTTGCTATATATATATTTTAAATTTATTTCTCTGCTTGACTAAAAGAAATTCTTTTGTAATCTGGATTTTATTCTAATGTGAAGTTGACCTCATGTGATAGGTGTTGTGGACGTTCTCCGTCTATCTTGAAGCAGTAGCAATCTTACCTCAATTAGTAGTACTGCAAAGGTCAAGGAATGTTGATAACTTAACTGGAAACTACATTTTTCTTCTTGGGTATGTCCTCTTATTTTTAGCAATGCTGCATTACTTAATGCTATTATATTGGTCATTCTATCTTGCTTTGATTTGGATGCTATTCTATGGGTACAACTACCCCCATCCCTTCTTTTCCCATACAGAGTATCTTCTGTTAATGGAGGTTGGTGCTTCTCAGCTGTACTTGTGTTTTGTGTATACTTTTGCCATGAAGTAGAGTATCATCTATTAACTGAGTATGGAGCCGTTGGCTGTTGTTCTGAATTATAGGTGGCCTGACTAGAATGACAACTGCAAGGGAGGAAATTCTTGGGAAATGAATTAGTCCATATAATAGACTCATCTAAGGTTGTAGCTTTGTTATCTAATAGTGGTGTTGGTGGCCCTTTTCGAGGTCCATGTGATAAATTATTAGGTTAGTGGCCTCTTTAAGTGGGTTTGAATTGAGCATGATGCATCCAACTTCAAGAAGTATCTTCTTTCTGTGGTAAGATTGTAAAGATTAGGAGGCTTGCTGTGTGCAGTCCCTTGGCATGCAAAGCCAACATCAAGGGTTTGATTTATTTCAATCTTATGGAATCTGTGTATTGATGCTTTTATGGTTTAAAGTTTTCTCACTAAATTATGGTTAAAGTTATTTGAATTTTGGATGCTTTGGTAGGATGGGCTGAGGAAAAGAGCGGTATAATAAACTTTGAATTATGCATAGGTGTTGCCAAAAAAAAAAAAAAGAGGAGTGAAGTTTTGCTAGCAAAGAAATGTAAAATTGTTGTGGAGTTTACTCAATTAATTGATGCTAGCTTGGAAGGATGGTGGTGAACTAGTATGGTATATGAAAGGCTAGGTTCAATATAGGCTTGTAACAGTTGTGAATGGGCATCTTAAAGTTGAGCACAGAGGCTGTAGAATTTTCTGGATAGCATAGTTCATGGGAGAAATTGACATAAACCATTTGGACCAAATAATAGAGGGGCCTCTAATTACTGGTTGTGGCCCAGCCAGTTTCATGTCTTTTTCAGGTATTCCCAAGTATTATAGTTAAATTTAGCATTTGGCCTTCATGAATATTTCAAAAGGAAAAACTAGAAATGGTAAGGTTTTGCAAGGGATAAAGAACTTGCCTGGACAGGCTTTGTTCAAAGCAAGATAAATTTATATTTGTATGTAACTTTGCTAGACTATAAATGGCATGTTAAGTTGATTTCAAGATCAATTAATTATAATTCTTTTGAAGATTTTTATCATGCCTCAGTTGAAGCTCTTTCTGGAGCATACCTGACATTCATGGAATGTCCAATATGAACTTTGTGGAATGGAGAGTAGTAGACTGCTGGTGCTCTCAAACTGGAAGCAGTACAATGGCAGTTTCAAAAGTGATGCAGGCACAACAATAAGAGTGCAACTAGCCTATTTTACTTTTCTTGCAAGCATGTAATAGCTAGTTTTCAAAGCGAGGCAATCAGGTTGTGCTGGTAATTAGGGTGAATCTGGAATGGACCAGATTTCTGGGCTACACTTTATGTCATTTAGAGATAGGCTTAACATATAAATATTTTCATCTGAGTCCAAGTTGAGGTAGGATGCACGAACTTGGATATCTCAAGCATTAGTGTGAAGCCTTTTTGTCTTTTATTTTTGGGGGTTAGCAGATTCAGTGTTCGTCATTCAGATTAGTATCGAAAATTTCTTGAGATGCTAACAAACCATATAGTTTTAGTTTTCTTCTTTGCTTCTCTTCTTTATCTAATTTTTCATCTCATTTACAAGCAATTGCAATTGCTTATTAATATTTGTTCTCTTATTTCATTATTATTATTATTATTATTATTTTTTTTTGTAGAATGTGGCTTGCATGTTCAAACTATGATTATTTTGTTAACTTGAAGCCTAGTCTGACCCAAACTTGACCCTCATTGTATAATAGGACAATAGGTTGAAATCCAATGTATGTTGTTTGTGATAATGCTTTGATAGATTGAAGTCAGCTATTGTGATTTTTTTAGTTCTGACTGAAGGGAAGAAGAACACTAGGGTAGTTGAGTTGATTAGATGAAGTTTAATTGGTATGGTTTGTCATTTTAAGATGTAGTAGAAACCATACTATTCATATATAGTAGATTGCAGCTTGCTTTGCTTGTACACTGCTTCTATCCATCCATAATTTGAATTATATGTTGTGCATGACATTAAATTTTTTAACATAGATTTATTGCATTAAAAGCAGTAATTCCTGAATAAAATTGACCTTGTAGCATGGGATATTGTGTCATTCTTACTTTTTTGCGCAAATATATTTTCAATTATGATCAAATTATATTTTAGTTTTTAGTTATTTGATTTTGTCATTTGTTGTGCATTTGGTTTATTGATTCAGTGAATATATTTGTTTAATTTCATATGTAGTGCTTATCGAGCCTTATATCTCATTAATTGGGTTTATCGGTTCTTCACCGAGAATTACAAATTCCACTGGATACGTAAGTTTCTATAGCATTCCATTTACATAATTCTCTTTTAAGGTAATATTGTTAACAAGAATTCTTGTCAAATGCCAAGAACAGCTTGGCTTTCAGGCTTGGTCCAGACTGCTCTTTATGCTGACTTCTTTTACTACTACATCAAGAGGTATGTTTCATGCATTGTTCTTCCTCACATTTTCTTAAGGAATTGCTTGTTTTGTATATTTTGTGACCTCGATTCATTTCTTAAACATGTTAAACAGGATATCAACAGTATGTTCCTGATCCCATTAATGCAAACCTAAGAATGGTGTGCTAGAATAAACCACGAAATTATTTTGCTTGATATTTTATGTTAGAGAAGACAAAACGCTTCCAAAGTCAAGGACTATGGATTTTCCTGAAACTTTCATCAGACCAATGCACTCTCTTTTCTCCCTAATCGCCAAAAAAACATTAAACATTTTAAGTTTATCCAAACCTCTCACTAGATTTGTTATATATCAATCATTTGATCATTTCTTTCTCTAAATTCTAACAAAGAATTATCATTTGCTTTTGAATGCTGGAAGGTACTTTACGTGGAAAATAAAGCATTTTAAAATGATTTCTGATTTCGTACTGATTTTTTTTTTTTGGTTTGTTTTAGCTGGAGGAACCGTGAGAAGCTAAAGCTTCCTGCTTGAGTTAAAGCTTTTCTCATACTAACAGAGGAACCAAGACTAATGCAATGGTGGAGTCTTAGGTAACTGATCCACCTTCAGTTCTCGTTACACACAAATTTTATTGTATCATCCAAATGGTAGAAGAAGGCTAGTCTTTTCTAATTCTTTCTTCCTTCAACGAGCTGTTAGCATTAGTAAGCTATCTGGTGCTTTATCTTTAAATGTTTGAGTTTCTCAATTATCATTTCATACGAATTTAAATGCCATGAAAAATTATGATTTTACATTTTCATAGAATGGATGACAAGAATGTCATAGAAAATCAATGATAGTGTTTCAAGTTCTTCATGTTTCTTTATGGTTTTGAATTGTGTAGCTTGTCTAATAAACTACCCTCCATGTACCCAAAAAAAATAAAAATAAAAAACTACCCTCCATGGTAGAAGTAAATTTGATTTTTGAGGGGTCAAGAACATAGCATTTTGAAAATTGCCTTCTTTGGCAAAGCCAAAATAAAAGCTTTGAATTTTAAGGCATGCATGTTTGGTTTGCTCTTGGCCACTTACCATCCAGTGCTTTGAATTTTGTCACTATCTTGGCCCAAACCGCGCCAGACCAAAGTATAGGCAACAAACTTTTGGTGAGCAACAAGCCAAGGGTCCAGGATGAGTGTCAAGGTCTTTCTTTTTCTTCTATTTTTTTGGTTGTGAAGATAGGAGGCAGATTGGTTGCTTTAACCCTTAATATTAGGGTAAGGATGTTGGGAGTTTCAGTTCTTTCAATGGATAGTTTTAGAAAATTACAGGCAAGTTTCCAACTCAAGACCACTTGTGTCTAAGCAGGAGACTAACTGAACGAAAATGTTAAAAAAAAAAAAAAAGAGACAAATGTGACACGTATGGGTTTAATAAAACAAAAAAATATTTTTAATAGACAAATTGTCACTATCACATGATATTACTATACAAATTGCAAGATCTATGAGCGACCATAGCAATTGCAACAGCAGGCCATTGGTGGTTTCAAGGCCTTTCTTGCCATGTAGGACCATACAAAATTAAACAATCTAGAAGAAGAAAAAAAAAAAATTAAAAAAGAAACTAGACGAATGTAAGATAACCGGGAACGGATGAGGCTGTCTCAGTATAAAATTCTATTTTGTACAACCCAAGCAAAGCCTCCATTAACAACACAGCAATGGAGACAAATAGTCAGAAGCAGCTAATTCTCTCACAGGACATTCGTCTATGATTCCTTTTCTCTGGACGGAACGTACCTCTCAATCTGAAACAAGCTTAATCAAAATGCAACATCGGGAAAATTGGATTGCAAAACTTTTGCATGGTTTACAAATATAGGGCCAAATTTAAAAATATGCAGTAACGTGGTCCTAACATTCGGTTCATCATCCACAACCAAACTTGAATTAACACTGAATTTGAACATCACCCAGGAGGCTTCTTTTACAGTTGGAACTTGTCCCTCATAGAAAACAAATATTCTTTTGAATCCAACAATTTCATTGTGGTGATAAATCTGCTCAGTTTCACCTGTTGCCATCCAATGACCACCATTCATGGCTCTTTTTATTTGTTCAGTAATGCTGTATGTCTGGGTCATTGTCGTAACGTATCATTTTGGAGACTCGATCGTTAGATATAAGAATTTAAAAATTATAAAAACACGGTAAGTTATCATCAATCTTTTTAGGATGTGATTAGTCACCCAAAAATTTTATCTTTTTAATAAAACAATAAAATGGTTAAAAATTTTATTAAAAAGACGATTTGGGTTTGCGAAAATAAGGTCGAGTTCGGGAGTTAGTTACGTGTGAAAAATGATTAGTATTCTCATAACGCCCATAACTTGATAAATTAATCATGCGATATTTGTAATTTTAGACAAAAACGTTTTTTTATATGAAATTTAATTACAATTCCTCTTCATTTTGTGAGAAATAGAATTAGTTTAAAAAATCTTACTTAAGAATATTATGAAAATCTTCAAATTAAAGCTTTATACTTCATAAATCTTCTAACAATAATATAGACATGAATTCTCTAAGATATATAGATCTCTTTCATTTTAAGATTTTATTATAGGGATTCTTTCTAAATAATACATAAAAAACATATACATATCATTTAACAGAATGAAATATGATTAATTGTAATTAAGATTTTCAAATATTAAGGCTCTTAGCAAAGTACTAAAAATTAACTTGAATTTAACAATTTACTAGTTCGAATGTTAAAGCTATTTTAATTTTAATTCGGACAATTATTCCAAACTTATAAAATTCTAAAGAAAAACTTTTTCATAACAAGCACAAACTCGTTTTTATAGTTGTTCTAAAAATAATTAAAATTTTATAACTGATTATATTTTTTAACATAAAATTATTATTATTGTTATTAGTAAAAAAAAATCTTTGAAGTGCAAATAATAATTAAAATACGTAAAATATATTCCAAAAACATAAGCATATCAATTTAAAGGTTAATACATCCACAAAGGGGTTAGACATTCAAAACCTAACATCATCCAATTAAAATAATTATGAAAAAAGATGCTTAAATATTCTTATACCCTAATTAAATTATTATTATTCCATTATCCACCTTAGCATTATTATTACTCCTATTATTAAATTTTTTTAGAACATGCAATAGACATCATACCCAAGAAAACTATGCAATGCATATGAAACTTTCTCTACACCAAGAATGATAAGTAAATAATGGTGGGACTGTATAGTACATGGGATGTTTTCTTAATATCTATGAATGATTTATGCAAATAGACAAAAACATGCAAGGAAGCTAACCAAACAAATATACTAATGGAACAACTTGCAGTTCACGTGAGGCTTGCCTACATATGGCCTATTTTTGGTTACCCCCATCATTTATATAATCAACAACAAGAATGAGTTAAAATAGATCCCGTGCAGAAGAAAGCAATAAGAAAATAACAAAAAGCTTGAAGCTTTATGGTTTGTACAAGACCCCTCACGTGAAACACAGAGTTGGAAGAGAAAAACTCAAACTTTTAAAACTTTCTTCCCCCTCTAATAACTTATCACTCCCTGTTTTGGAAATCATTTTCTATTAAAATCTTCTTTCCACATCAAATGAGTAGGGCTGTGTGGGAAGATATCCAAAACGTGACTGCTTATGGAAAGCCAAGTAGCACAGTTTGGTTATTCCAAGCTGATTTTTAAGTCTTTATTTGCCTTAGCCTAGGCTAACTCAAAGCTAGTCATAGAAGATGGAAAAGTAATAACTTTAAAGTAAAAAAGTAATGGTGGAAAAGTTTGTGAAGTAAGCTCGATTGCTGCTACCATTAGAAGATGCAAGAGCTATTCGGTAATTCCATAAAAAGGAGATAAAGTTTCAATCTTTTTGTAAAAAAAAAAAAAAACATAGAACACATAAAGCATCTCAACTTCATTAACATACACATCAAAGTTAAAGCATGCAAGGAACAATCATGAACATTTTACAAAAGATATAATAGCAGGTGCGAAAATGGTGTCATAACCATTGATAGAGAATGGCAAACATATACTCTTATGTGACCATGGTAATGGGTTATCTTACCTCTCCTTTTTAAACTTTTTTGGAAGTTGGTTTCTTTCTTTTAGTTTTGTGAAAAGCTCTCACCTTTTTAAAACTTTCTCTTAAAAATCTTTCATTTTCTTTTCTTTTACTTAGCCTTTTTCCTTTCTTTTCTTGTGTGTTTAGCTTTTTTTTTTTTTACCAAAAGCTTTCTTCCCCAATATCCTTTTAATGTTCTTGTTCACAGCCTCTACTGTGCCATTCATTTTTGAGTTATACAGTGCTAAATGATGATGCTTTATCTTAAACTACGTGTACAACTCTTTCATCATTTTACTGTTCAAGTTGCTAGCATTATCAGAGTTGATCTTTTTCGAAAGCCTATGTTGGTATATTATCTCTCTCTTTATGAATCTATACATCACTGATCGCGTAACACTAGCATATGAAGCTGCTTTCACCTATTTGATAAAATAATCAATTATGATAAAGATAAAATGATGTCCGTTTGAAGCTTTCAGGATTATAGGTCCGATCACATCCCTTTCCCGCATAGAGAAAGGCCATGACAGTGTTAGAACATGTAATGGGACTAGAAGGGAATGAATTTTATCCGCGTAAATTGGGCATTAATGACACCTTCGAACATAATGATGCAATCATTTTATAATGTAGACTAGTAGTAGCCTGTTCTCATAATTTGTTTGATCATCATATGCCCATTGGCGTGTATTTCATAAATTTTCTCATGTACTTTCAAGTATCTTTCGTGTTTCAATAGCGTTTACACACCTTAACAATACTTGGTCCCAACTTTTTTTATACAAGATTTCTCCATCGAGTACAAATCCTACTATTAATCTTTGAATAATTTTTTTACCATTCTCTAAAGCTTGCTTAAGATAATTTTGGCATTCTATATACTGCACAATGTCATAATACCATCGTTAATTACTATTGAAGCTGAGTATTTTATTTACAAAATTCTTCTAACTTGGCTTTAAGCCATTTATTAACTTTGTTTCTAGTTTCCAACTACTGAGTAAAGCCTCTTAAATACTCTATTTTAATCTAAGATAAAGTCAATGGCCTTCTTACAACTGGTGGCACCAACATTGGTAGGTTTGTCAAAATACTCTTTAATCTTTTTAAAGGTATTTTGACATTCTTCGTCTTATTTACCTGATTATTTTTACGAAACATTTTATAGATCAGATCGCATTTGAAAGTAAATTGAGATAAGAAGCGAGAAATGTAATTTAGTTACCCTAAAGAGCATTTCACTTCTTTTTGAGTGAACAATACTATCAACTCTTGATTGGCTCGAATCTTATCAGAGTCACTTTTACACCTCTTTCGCTAACTATAAACCCTAGCAACTTTCTAAATTTAACACCAAATGTGCATTTAGCCAAGTTCAGTTTAAGTTGGTATCTTCATAACCTTTTAAAGAGTTTTATGAAATTAACTACATGATATTTTTCTTTTTGAGACTTGGCTATCATATCATCAACATACACATCTATCTCTTTGCATCATGTCATGAAAAAAGGTGACCATCGCTCTTTGATATGTGATGCCAGCATTCTTTAATCCAAAAGACATGACTTTATAGCAAAATATTCCCAATATTATCACAAATGTGATTTTTTTCATATCTTCTCGGGCCATTTTGATCTGGTTATAGGCGAAAAATCTATCCATAATAAAAAAAATAGAGTGTCTAGCAGTGTTATTCACAAGAGTATCAATATGAGGCAACAAAAAATTATCCTTTGGACTGGCCTTATTCAAGTCCCTGTAGTCTACACACATCCTAACTTTTTCATCTTTTTTTGAAATTAGGACTATATTGGTTACCCATTCAGGGTACTTGGCTACTTTAAAAAAACTTGCATCAAATTGCTTATTTACTTCCTCCTTTATCTTTTGCAACATCTCTGGCATCATGTGTTTTAACTTTTGCTGTATTGGTTCGCACTCTGGTTTTAAAGGCAATCTATGCTCAACAACATCTATGCTAAGCCCAGGCATATCCTGATAAGACCATGCAAATACATCTACATATTCTTGAAACAAATCCACCAACTTTTATTTCTCGACTAGTGATAGTGAAGTATTGATTCTGACTTCTTTCTTGTTTTCACCATCCATTAAATTTAACAAGTCAACAGATTTTTGATGGGGTTTTATAATTTTCTTTTCTTGTTCCATCCATTTTAATAGATGCTGAGGTAAATCATAGTCTTCTAAATCAACATTATTATCAAACTCGCTAATGTGACTTGAACTTTCGAAATCAAATCCAGCATTATTATCTTGGTCATCCATAATGTTCACTATTTAAAGACCTAAAAATATGTACAATTTCAAAAGGATATAGATTGATTTTGGTGAAAGTAAGAAAGATATGAATAACAATGAAAAAAAAAAAAGAAATAAAAAATATGGTAAATGTGAAATGCATTGCATTTGTACTTTTATTAGGATAATGAAAGTAAGCCCATACATTAGACCTCTGTATACTCTTGGGCAGAAGCAATTGAAAATTTTAAGTTAAAAAGGTTCAAGGACAACGGAAACAATACATCATTCGTGGGTCTCTTAACCTAAAAAGGAAAAAAAAAAAAGATATCTCTTCATCTTGCATAATTTCATCATCTACTTCAATCTAAACTTGAGAAAAGGCTTCATCCAATCCCATTGCTGGTTCCCCTTTTTCAACCTTTGATAATCCAAAGTAGGCATGCTCGCTTGAGCAAAATGTTTCATACAGATAGAAAAATACTATTTTTCCATCAACTGACTCTTGCCCTTTGAGGCGTGCCATTCTCTTTTCTTTCTTTTCTAGCATCATATTCTTTCTATTAGCAGTAGTAGGCTTATAGCCTAAGCCTTATCTTTCTTTGTTTTCACTTATGCTTGATGCCTTCTTGATTCCTTGTAAAGCCTTTCTTAAGTCTCGCCTGACTTGCCAACCCTTGCCGATAGTTTGCTTAATTATCATATCTGTAGTTTTCGATAATAGAGAGATTGATCTCTTTGACCCTTCTCTAACAT